GTGGCCGTGCGCAGGCCCGCTCCAGAGGAGAAGAGCTAAGACGAGGATGTAGAGCTGGTCACGGAGGCCCATGAATGCAAGGATGCTGCGGGCGAGCCGGAGAAATTCAATAATGGACGTCGTCTGAGCATTGTTGGTCGCCTGTCTTCAAGCTCCTGTCTTCTCCGACGGGGCACTTATCTGCGACGCAACCGCCGTCGGAGCAGCGTTGACCGAGCATGGTGTGGCTCGATCCCACCCTGTCACAGCCGGCGCCAACTGGATCTCAACGCTGATGTCGTTACGAAAAATGACAGTAGACAGACGAGCGCGGCTCGTGTCGTCGCGTCGACCGTGTTTAATACCGAGGGAAGCAGGCACGGCACACACTTTGAGAGCGTCTTTCGCTCGTGTGCAAGCCGCAGCGAAGCCGCACCAGGCTAACGCAATATGCAGCATCCATCTGAGTTTTGCATCTTTTGTATCAAAAAGGGACCTCGTCTGGTTTCGAACCGCTCAGACACCATCAGCAGACAGGCGCCGCATCCTGGCGAGCAAGGGTATAAATTATTGCCTTGTTGGCGAGTCAGTCGAGGGAGACTTTTTCGATCGCGCTCACCAGTTTGCACTTGAGTTTGCACTTGCAATGAAAGGGTTCGTACGCTGCGAAGTCGGGAATGGAACCCGGATCAGAAGCTTCTTTCGGAAGATCCCGCCGCTGGAACCTGACGCGCATCCGGATACCCGCAATCTTTAAAACGCGTTGGATTTGGAGATCGCAATGCGTTCGATGTCCCCTGCTCGACACGTCCTATCTCTTCTTATCGTCCTTATCGTCGTGGTGGCGGGACAAGGCGACAATGTGACGGCCCCTTCGCCGACGACGTCAGATGTGGTACCCACGCCAACGCCGACTCCGACGACGGCAGTCGCGACCACTGAGGTGCCGAGAAATACCCTTCCGACGACGGCCGCTCCGACGACGGCCGTGCCATTTGCGACGACTGCAGTTTGGGTACCGGTACCGACGAGCACTGCCATAGCCACCAATGTACCTACCGCCACTGCGAACCCGACAGGGTCCGTAAGTCCGACACCAACGAGTCAACACGCAACCGCAGCAACAACGCCTAGTCCACCACCGACTAGAGATGCCGATGGCACATCCTCGCCGCATGTCACCACCACGACAACAAGCCGTCCGAATCCATCTTTGACGTCCCCAACGGACGACGGTGGGTCGGTAGGCTTTGTATCTGGCGTCGGCAACACACATGCCCCCGTGCACGCAGACACGTCGAGGCCGCCGTCGGATACGGCCGCGATTGTGGGCGCGGCCTTTGGCTGCACGTGCATGATTTGCGCTGTCGCAGCGTTTTGGCTTTGGCGTCGGTATCGCTTGCGTGAGGCCGAAATCGCTCGGTGCCACGTTGACGGGGACGACGAGGACGTCAAGGCAACGACGTATACGCAAGTGACTGAAATGGAGTTTTAGCGTGTCAATAATGATCCCATGTCGTCCCACATATCGCCGCGTTTCTTGGGTACGACCAAGTAGCCTTGGAGGAGCTGGGAGCCTTTATAAACACGTGTATTCCGTCTTTTTTTTAGCAACGGTTTCGGGCAACCACGGGAAGAGGCGCATGAAACGGGCGGCCCAGTAGCACACAGCTCAAGCGTATCGGCGATGCAACATGCTTGGCTTCTGTGGCTGCTCGTTATGAGCCTCTTCGTGCTTACCAGCGCGGCGGACGGGTCGAGCAATGGCTCTGAGATCGCAACGACCCTCGCGCCTGCGACAGAGGCTCCTGCAACGCCGGTCCCAACGACGCTCACCCCAGAGACACCCGCTCCGACGCCGCCGCCAACGACTGCGACGCCAACCGCTACGACGACAGAGGCTCCGGCAACCCCAACATCCGTCCCAACGACGCTTGCTCCAGAAACACCCGCTCCAACGCCGCCGCCAACGACGCTTGCTCCAGACACACCCGCTCCGACACCGCCGCTGCCCACGACTGTGACACCAGAAACGCCGACTCCATCCTTAACAGCGTCGGTGGTGCCGTCGACGTTGCCACCGTCACAATCCACGACGGAGCCTGTCCCAGTGGTCTCTACGAGCACGCCGTCCATCGCGACGACCACAGTTGCACCGTCTGTGTCGCCAACGACGACGAGTCCCACGCGAATCTCGGCCAGTCCGTCGGGGTGGACGCCGCAGACAGAGGCTCCACTCGTTCCGTGGACGCCCGCACCGACGGCACCGAGTACCGCCACGTCGGTCGGTACGTCGTCGTCCGAGTCGTCGTCGACGGGTGTCATTCTTGGCGCGGCGCTTGGTAGCACGGTCATTATCTGCGCCGTGGCCAGTTTTTGGCTCTGGCGCCGCTACAAGATCAAGCGAGAGCTCGCGGAGCTCGCACTTGCCCACCCCAATATGAAGTCCGAAACGCCGTATGCAGAGCTCACCGAGGCAACCTTTTAGGACGATATATTGCAGTCTCCCATGACAATGTAATAGTACATCAATGGCCACCGCGTCACATTGACCACAATAGCCCAGTCGACGTAGCATCATCAAACGCTTCATCATTAACTGTGGTCCAAAACACTGGTGCTGTGCTGTTCTCTAGGCTATCATCGACCATCGGTGATGACGCGACGCCGTCGGGACCACGAGGTGAGACGGGCAGCGGCAACTTTGGCAAAGACTTCGCGTGGGGTGCGGTCTGCGGCCGAGACTTTAACGGCGTCGACGACTAGACACGTTATACTCTTCGCAACATCGCAGCTATGCGAAACGCGTGTACCTGGCACCGGCCGCGAAGACCGACCTTCTCGAGACAGGGTTCCTCCCGAAGCTTGTCCTGCAAATTGACCTCAATGTGCCGAATCGATGTGTTGACTTGGACGTCCGTGGTGGCTCTGGCTTGCTTGGGAATGCGAAAGCCGCCGCGGTACACGACTTGTTCGCCGGTCGCATTCGGTGGAATGTGCATGATCTCCCCAGACGCCTTGGGCTTCATGGTCGACGTGCCTGACCGACGCGGGATGACCGACTTGACATCCACGCGCCCGCTTCCAGCCGTCATGGGCCGCAGCTTTCCCGCCGCCTACGCTTGCTGCATACAAACAACATTCGCGGATATCAACTACCTTTCTCGCTTCACTTGCCTCAGCCTCGGGCTCGTCTTGGTTGGCACCACTGGTCGTGTCACTGCCGGTTGCTTAATTAGTCGATATTTGTCATGGGGCAATAAATGGACCTGGCCTCACAGATCGGTCGGTCGCACGAGATGCACGTCGCCGACGTCGGTGGCCGCTTTTGCTTGGTGATTGCATGGTGGCCACCGACTAGACGCACCGAGTGAGTCAATCGCAGACCGAGAACCGTGGTACCAAACGAGAGGGTTAAATGCACGCAACTCTGCACCCGGCGCACAAAGGTATCGCGCGCGTCGATTAAGAATCGGCTGGTCGTTGGCGCCATGGTGTCCATGTGCTGACGCACCTACGTCATACAAACGATGACGATATATGCATCGTTTTGGCATGTTCGTACGCGGCTGCCAAAGGCGGCGGCGGCGGCGTTCCGAAGGCTTTGGACTGTCGCGTCGTCCACGTGGTGTTCTGTGAGCGTGACGCGACTAACATGGTGACGGACGTCGCTGCTGAGGAGTCCCGTGGCTTGGAAAATGCAGTCGGCGACTTTTTGCTTGCGGTCGTCTGGCAGCACGGTCGAGTGCGACCTGCATCCGAGGCGTCAACGAGGGACCAAATTGCAGAAAAATACAGAAAATACAGGAAAATACAGGAAAATACAGGAAAATGCGACGTACAAGAAGTGCTCTTGCTGGAGACCCGCGGTTGCAATATCGAGCGCCCACTTGCCGAGGCGCTCGTCGCGGATCTCGTCGTTGATGACGTCGCGCTGGATGAGACCGTCGACGAGGTGGTGCATGGCTTGGAAGTTGTGGAGTGTATGTCTATATCCACGCAACATTTAGCCAATGCGGGCACGCGCAGGTCGCGGACCTGCGCTCGTCGTCGACTCGATATGCCAATTGGTCGAGCAGCGCCGACGTGTCTTTGATTTGCGAGTCGATCTCGCTCGTCGCCTGCTCGCACCTAGACACTATATTGTCATTTTGAGCACACAAGTGTCCTCATACCTGTCGAAGCGGACGTTGATCGTGCCACGCCAGTCAAGGATGTGGTGCTGAATGTCCCTGACTTGCTACAGATATGGAATATGTGGGTACTTTGAAAACCATCTCAGAGAGGAAAACCTCTTCGACGAGGGTGCTCGAGGCGACGACGCGCTTCATTTCGACGCGGGTGTTGGCAACGCCGTTGCTGAGCTCCGTGACGTCGTACTAGCACCATGTCCCACACCGATACAACATTCATCAAGGTACCTGAAGACTGGGCATCTGCCCCGCGAGCGTCGCGAGCGCGCCCTCGGTGGTTTTGGCCAGTTGGTGCAATTGGTGCAGCTGCTCGTGAAAGATCTTGTTGTTTTCGTTGGCGACCCACTCGTTTTCGTTGACGCGGTGTTTTAGCGACGAGTCTACGCAAATAATATCAACAGACAATACACTCTCCACTCCCCTACAGTCGTTTTCTAGTCGCTCGAGGCGCACGCGGTCCTTCTCGACTTGCATCGCAATCGATCGGTCGAGTTCGGCCAAACGCAGCTGGTGCTGCTTGAGCGTGTCGTCGTGCTTGGCCAAAACTTCGAGCGCCACAGTGTGGGACCGGACCGCCTCGTCCGTTTGACTCAAATGCGTCTGGAGCGTGGTCAACGTCTCAATCGTTAAGCTTAGCTTGCGCGCTTCAACGTCCATCGTCGCCATCGACGTTCCCACAAGATTGCGCACGTCTTGCACCAAGAGCTCCGTGTGGTGCCCTATGACGAACGCACTCCAGTTTGCACCCGTGTATCGAGTGGAGGAGTGTGCTACGCTCGCCACGGAGGAGGCCATCTGTCGCCGCGGCTTTGGCATCCGAGTCTGCAATGCGCTGGATCATCTTCTTCTCGACGCTGTCGACTGTGTCGAGAATGGTTTGGTTGATGCGCACTTGACGGTCCACCGTGGTCTGGACGTCACTGCATTGCGTCACGACCTAGTCTGCACGTGAGAAACCGCGATTCTTTCAATGTTTCAATCGCCAACGTGATGCACGTTGGCTTCGACGGCGTCGAGACGACTGTGGACGGCGGCGCGGTCGTCGTCGATACTGCTTGTTGTCGAGCGAAGGTACTGCGCCGTTTGCTCCATGACGGAAATGCCGTTTTCTTGCAGCGTCAGTCGCTTCTCCGTGCTATTTACCACATCAATCGAAGTCCCACGGTTGATACACCCAACGCACGCGGTGGTAACGTCGTTGATCGCGGCGGCATTGGCCTGGATGAGGCCGACGACACCATCGAGACGCTTGCTCAACGACGCCTCAAAATCGCTTTTCCACTAGACAAGTTTGTACTCTATGTCGTCGCTTCAAGGAGGATGCTACGTACGCGGGCTGCCTCCAGAGCGTGTTGAGCGAGCTTTTCGCTGGTCATTTGCTCGGCGGCCGCGCCGCTGGCCTTGGCCTTTAAAATGGCATCGGCCATCTACCTCGACACAGTGTCACCATGAGACGGCTGGCTCGCTTGAACGCGAGGACCTCGGCGACGAGACTCTGCTTCCAGACGTCGTGGTCGGCTTCGGACGGGACCGCCCCCAAGCTGCGCTTGACCTTCTCGAGCTCAAGCTGCAGTCTACCCAATTTACGAATGACTTCGTTTGCCTATACATGGCACATACGTGGAGAAGCGAAGGTCGTGCTCGAGCTTGATCTTCATCTGCGAGGCGCGCAGCTCGTCGAGACTGATACCGACGCTGGACCGACTCTCGTCGTCGTCCGAGACGTGCGATTCTTTGACGAAGGACGGCAGTGACGAAGCGAGCACTGGAGTCGACGATAGAGACAAGTGCAGGGATGCGACCTTGGTCTCCACTTGGGCGATGCGCTCAGCGAACGCTAGCGCAAGGACCGAATGAGGAGTGGCTTGTTGGATTTAGGCATACAGGCGAACGCTGGGTGGGCCGGCATCGAGTCTTCCACCTGCGCAATGCGCATCGATAGGTGGGAGAGACTCTGCTCGAGCGATGCCGAGTCCAGGGATATGAGCTTGTACACCGGCGGCTCCATCGGCGCCGGGCGTTACGAAATTGAAGTCAAGCCGTTCACGCAACGTTAGTTGAGAAAACATTGTGGCTGGATACATCACTTTTGATGATGCAGATGAATTGTCGCCAGGACAATAATGAAAGACTGTGTTGGTGCTTTGCTCGTTCAAACGTCGATGCGTGCTTGGAGCTGCAGTCCGACTAGCCAATTTTAATGACGTTTTGGGCCATATTCATTTGAAGCCGCCAATTTAAGCACGGAACTCGGAGAAAAGTTTGTAAAATGCGTCGAGACATCTATCTTCTTCTCTACTTATCGTGACAAGTTCCTCTCGAGTCATTTATCAGGTCGAGGAGGTGTACAACGTTGCAAGCCATTCGCCTTGCTTACATCATCGCAAGCAGCCCTACGACACCTACCGCAGCGAGGCTCAGGGCCATCGTCGGTGCGTCGCTTGTACTTGGGTCCGGAATTGTGCACTGGACCGTTTGGAGGTTGGCGTGCACGTACTGGTCGTACGTCATGGCAGCGACTTGGGCCGTTGTGACCGACTTGCCGCACATCGTGCCGATGGTGCACGGTGGGTTTTCGGCCTTGGACGCGGTCTGGATTGTGGTAAAAACCGCAACGCAATTCGGACTCTTGGTGAACTTGTCGACAGTCTCGGGCGATACAGGCGAGCTGTTGCCCGTCGCAAGCTCCGAGACCGGAACGCCAATGTCCATCGTACACTTGAGCATCGCTGGCGCCGCTTGCTGGATCGCCCCGAGGTACGCCGATCCGAGACTCTCTTGCGTGCAGGCAGGCGCGGCCGCCGACGCAAGCGCAAGCATCGCAGTGGTCATGACAAGCTTCATTCTTGTAGAGCTGCTCGAATGAAAGCCAAAGTGAAAATGACAACCGTTGAAAGATCGATGCTGGATTTAGCTCATGGGCGTGCGGTGCATGTGCGGCCCGTGTTGCATTTCCTAATCGCTAGGATCGGGGGACATGTGAGACACGCCTCGAAGTGTACAAATTGTCGCGAAACGGGCGATAGACACACCATTTCAGTAACGGCAGTTACTCCACGCGAGCTCGTGCCTGTGTAGTGGACGTGTAGTCACTCTACAATGTACTGCTCGTCGACTACTGCAAGTAGATTCTAGTTGTACATCCATACCGAACTCTAGTCGACATGTACCAGCACGAGTACAATATAGTCCGAGTACATGTACTGTCGTGTTGCGAGTGGTGGCGTTTGAACATCTGGTTTCGAGGCTGTCGCCCGTGTCTTTAGTTTAACGCTATGAACGACAAGGCGACGTAATGTCGCATGCTCGCGATGGTAGTGTTCCGCTGGAGTAAACTATTGAATATATCTGTGTCGTGCTATTTTTCAAGTTGCGTACATACCATGAGCGTTCGGTTTTGATCACTGAGTTACGGTATGACATCAGAAGTTCAAACACTCATCTTGTCATATATCAAGTCTGAATTCACCTGTCCATCCGGATATGACGCGCGTTGCGAACAACAGCGTCAACGAAATACGTCCACAGCAAACGCTGCAGTGACACGGTCCGGGACATGGTTAGACCGAGGGTATATAATAGATGCCTTTGGTTGTGCCGAACAGCAGCCGGCCGGCCATCAAGCCCCTCGCTGCGTATGCACCTCAGTGTACACAGACTGGTGGTGCATTGCTTCATGAGCCGTTGAAACCCACCAATAGCCGTGTCGACGCGTGTGGCAGGAGGATACCATGCCTGGCTGGCAACGTCCTTGCTCTGTCAAGAAACGCGAGTAAATTCATTGCTTGTAGCAGAACGTCCACCAGCATCGCCGGCTAGATTCAAGCCCAGTACCACGGTTCCTGAAGCTGAAAGGGTTGTGGACCGATGCTGTCATTAATTCATTCATCTCGACACCCCAAGATAAGATGAAGATGTGTCTTCTTGCTATTGCGGCCTACGTTGCTGTCGCGACCGCGGCGGCGTCTACGTGCACGCCCGAGAGCCTCGGCACAGCGTACGCGAGCGCGTTCGAAACCATCGCGCCCAAGTTTCTCTCGTGCACCAAGGACCTTGGTCTCTCGGCGGGCGCCCTCAACGGAGGCACCGTGACCGGCGCGACAGAAGACATGGTCGACAAGTTCATCAAGAGCCCCAACTGCGTCGCGGTCTATACCACACTCCAGGCTGCGTCCAAGGCCGTGAACCCGCCGTGCATCATTGGCACCATGTGTGGCAAGCCCGTCACGACGGCCCAATTCGCCGCGATGAGCTTGGACCAATACGCGCAGGCGTCGCTGAAGACGTCCAAGTGCACGATCCCCGACGTGCCGTCGAGCGCCTCGGCCGCGAAGCTCGGGATCGGCGCCGTGGCTGCCGGCACCATTGCACTTGCCTATCTCTAAATGCATTGTATATAGTGAGTTTCTAACCGTTTTCGTCGTCCACGACACCCAAGGGAATTCCCTTGACCAACTTTGGATGTTGACTGACCCTCTCGGCCAACCCATTGGACCCTATCCGGATCCGCTGTATGCTATTTGTGCGGAAAAAAGCGGTCAGGTTCACACAAGTCGATGCAATTTTCTGCACGTTCGACGCGTACGCATCGCATTAGAATGGAAAGGGCGCTCCTGACCTGACCACGGAGACCAACATTCAAACGCGTCCAACATCAAGTTCGCATGCTCATGTTCATCCGGATGTAATGGGTGTCGATAGCTATCCGGATGTAAGGTGTCGTTTCGCCCTCAACGAACCACGTCCGCAGCAAACGCTTGAGCGACGCAGGTATGTAAAATAAGACAAGATTAACAACAAACATTCCATTGCGTCCATACACTTAGTGCGCATCGTTCGCGAAGTGTCGCTTTACGATGAAACTTCTTCATGCATGCGATAGTAGACCACCAAAACTGGTTTGTAACGCCTTGCGGCATCCGGAAAAGCGAGTGAATTCATGTTGGTAGCAGAACGTCCGCTGACATTGCCTTTTTGTGATTCAAGTCGAGTCCCACGGTCCAATGAGCGTAATAAAGTGTCGAGCGCTGCCCGTATTCATTCCTTCATTCGCTCTCGACACGACACGATGAAAACTTGCCTCCTTGCGTCTACCGCCTACATTGCCGTGGCGACGGCGGCTTCGTGCACGCACGAGGTCCGTGCTGTGTGGTACGCCAACGCATTCCAAGCGGTCGAGTCCAATTTTGCTTCGTGTGCCAAGGACGCCAACGTATCATTATCGACCCTCAAGGCAGGCGCGGTGAAAAACGCGACGCAAGAGATGGTCGACAATCTCACCAAGAGTCCCAACTGCGTCGCGGTCTTTACCTCGGTCCACGCTGCGTCCAACGCCGTGCTTCCGCCGTGCCTCATCGGTACCATGTGCGGCATCTCCGCCACGACGTCCCAGTTCGGCGCACTCTCGTATGACCAATTCGTGCACGTACTGCTCCGAACGTCCAAGTGCACGATTCCCGATGACCCTTTGAGTGCCGCCCCTGGGATTCCCAGCCTCCCGCCGAGTGCGACGGCTAGCGTTCCGTCGAGTGCCTCAACACTTGGGCTCGGCGTCGTTGCCACCGGCACGCTTGCGCTTGCACTCTTGTACTAACTGTACATTGTTCGTACATGTGATGAGTTATCCCGTTGTTCAATGCACGCAGGGCATATTGGTACTGTAGAAACGTTGCTCGAGCAGCCACACGGCCCATGGGTCGGACGCTTGACTGGATTGATATCATGTCTGCCGTGTCTAGTGTAATGACATACATATATGTAGCACGCTGCAGAGCCCCCTCCTACTGTATGTTCTCGGGCCTGACACGCTCGGTCATCGTGATTCTTTTGGGGGAATATAAAGAGTTGGTATCGCCCATGTGCATTCTGGCGGACGTCGGTTGCTGCCGTTGGTGTGCCTGGTAATAATAGTCTCGCTTGAAACTCAATCACAAATTCAGAAATGGGCTTTCTCGGGCAGCTCTTTGGTCTTGGCGGAAAGGGCTCCGTCCTCGTCACCGTCGACAAGCCGTACTACATTTCCGGCGAGCTCATCACGGGGTCGCTCCACGTTGACGTCCTCGAGCCCATCGAGTGCCACGGTAAGTCATGACTACCGAATCCTTACGATCAAATCATGTCCGATGACGGCGCAGAGGTCGTCGTGCTCGTCAAGGGAAAGGAGCGCGTGCGCTGGACGGAGCAGCACACGGTGACGCGGGACGGGGAAACGCATACGGAAACAAGGACGTTCTCGGACGGCCACGAGTTTTTCAAGTCCAAGGTCCGTGGATGGCCCACTTCATGTTCATAGACTCATCGAATTGCTAGCTCGTGCTCTTCAACGTCCAGCAACACTTGGCACCGGGCAAGTATATCTACCCGTTCCAGTACCAGCTACCCACCGGTCTTCCCGGGTCGTTTGACAATGAAAACCACGCGAGCGTCAAGGGCAAGATCGAGTACGCCATCAAGGGCACGCTGTGCATCAACGGCGTCTTCACGCGCGACCTCAAGCACCGGCAGCGACTCGTCGTGTACGCGCAGCTCACGGGCGTTGTCGTGCCCGTTCAAGCCGAGAAGACGCAAATCATCCGCTTTCTCTGCTGCTTCAACAAGGGCCAATGCGATCTGCGCGTCGCGATGGACAAGAACGTGTATGGCCCCGGCGAGGTGCCCCAGGTAGACACATACATCTACCGTAGATTTCAAAACATCCGTGGGATGTCGTCTTGGTATAGATCCACTGCGAGATCCGAAACCAGTCGTCCCGCGACGTCGTTGCGATGCGGTCCGAGCTCGTCCGCGTCGTCGAGGTCCATGCAGATGGCCGGAACCGCGTCCTCCGTAAAACCATTTGCTGCGCAACGTTCCCAGGCGTCCCTGCAGGGCAGTCGCTCTCGCAGCCGCAGTCGTTCCAGCTCATCGGCAATGGCATGTACCCGAGTACGCGAGGACAGATCGTCTCGGCTCGCTACTGCGTCGAAGTGACATGCGACATTCAGTGGTGCCCGGACGTCGAGCTTCTCCTGCCGATTGCTCTTGGGGCGCCCCTCCTCGTCCCTGTCGGAGTGACACCCACCCCGCTTCAGTAGCACTACTACTACAAGTAAACTGCATTAGAAGAGAAATGATATCCATGGGGTGCAAAATGATGTGTGAGATCTGTCATCCTAAAACACGTGCTGCGAGCAGTCTTGATACACGCCAAACACGTACGAACTTAAGAATCGCCATCGAAAGGTTTATGAACATGCAAATTCGATTGTACATCTTTTAAAGCATCGTGTACAGTACGAGGGCACCCGATGCGACGAGGCCGAGGTTCGAGGTCGACGCGGCGCTCGACGCACTTGGCAGCGTGCACTTGTCGCCTTGCGCAGCCGCTTTCAAGTAGTCTTCGTACGGCATGTCTGCAAACTGCGCCGTTGTGAGCTCCTTGCCACACATGGTGCCCATCGTGCACGGCGGCGAGATGGCCTTGAAGGCTTTTTGGATCGTCTTGAACGCCGCCGCGCAGCTCGGGCTCTTGGCAAACTTTTGGACTTGGGCAGGTGTCGCCTGATCCACCTTGTTGGCCGTAATGTCTTCAAGCGAGATGCCAACGTCTTCGGCGCATTGGAGAAAGCTCGGCACCGCCTCTTTGATCGCGCTCGTGTACGCAGAGCCAAAGTCGCTGCCGGTGCACATGGCAGCTGCCGCCACCGACGCGCACGTTGCAAGCACACAGATCTTGATCGGCATCATTGAGTTTGTCGTTGTGGTGGTAAAGAGGCAAATGAGAAATGATCCTTAGCAATGCACTGGCAGTAGAAATCGGAGTAGAAATGTGCAATGTCAATCCAGGAGAAATATTGAAATATTGGGATACATGTGTAGTCTCCGGATGTCTTAAGTAAGAGAGTTAGATGGGAGTGTCCCGCTGTCCCACTCTCGATTGTTGTCAATTGCGCAGGTGTACCGTACTGGATTATAAATCCATGGAAAGCAATGTCTCTTTTGAGTCCAAAGAGACATTACTTTAGACCGAATGGTGTCTTCAAATCATAGCATTACTACACCACTCAATATAATGTCTCGTCTCAATCCATAGTACATGTTACTGTACCATGCGATGCAGTGAGTGCATGGAATGCTTCAACTCGACTGTGTTTTGTGCGCATTTTCAACATATCGCTGCGCCAACAACTCCACTCTACAGGTGCAAAGTCAGCAAAACTTGGTTTTTATATGAGCACCTTTCACGTCAGTGCACGCCCAGAAAACTCTCTTAGCACCATTGTCCATGATCAAGGGAATAAGAAATTGTTATAAATCCCTTGTCCATGCAACACTTGTATCGGCGAGCAAAAACGCCATATGGTCCGGCTACAAAGCTCGCTAGAAAAGAGGGCTCGAGCTGCAAGGCGACCTACCGGTACACGAATGTGCTTGGACAAAACCGACAACATATACACGGACAAGGGTCCGTCCGCATAGTCCACCCTCGCTGCACACTACGTCGCTATCCAACCTTGGCTAACTGCTACCAACCGCTCTAGTCCGCGGATGGAATGTGGACGCTTCTGACAGCCAGTGCCGTAGGAGCGAGTACGACACATCGCAGGATGTCACAATTGGACAAGGCGAGCGTCTTTGCTTGCACGCGTCGTGAGCCGGCGGTGTCTCGCGTTATGAGCCATGCGCGATCTTCGTTGCGTGTCAAGCACGGCGAATAACGGAAGCGTAGTACGGCGCGCCACCGTTGGCCGCTCGCCATTTTCGAAATCTTTCCAGCTACTTTGAAGCGTGCTAATAGAATGCACGGACCGGGCCTGGGTTTCACTGCAAGATCTCATTGCAACTCGAGGATTAATATGGGTACGGCCCAAGGGACGTGGTGCAGGGGTGCCCGCTACAAACTGAGCCAGGTAGATTGACAGGTGCATGGACCGCAGAGCAAACAGGCAGCCAAAAGAGCACCAACAGAATTGATCGGAACCGCTGTGCACGCGGGAATGCGTCGTGCGATCCTTCGTAGCATCGTCGAGCGTGGGCGTCTTACAATTCGAATCGGACCCGGGCCCGGTTTTATAAGCTAGCATGTTTCGTTGGGCCCACAGGCCGTCAAACGGGCCCGTTTCAAGGCCAAATCTCGTCCGACAACTTGGTTTCAGTATTTGATACAAACCGCAAGTACCTTGAAAAAGACAGTCGTGCTCTATACAATACAAACATCAAGTGTAAAATCCGAAACCGTCAATCTTGGGCGGTCGCCGGACGCCACTGACTTTGCAAGTTGCCATGGCCAAGCTACTGACCGTACTACTACTCTCGTTCGCCGTGTCGCTGCGCTGCCGGACGTCGCCCGAGATGCGCTCGGCGCTTCATGACGCCAGCGCCACCGGCCTCTTCGCCGCGCCCATCATCGTCTCGGCCTGCGACCTCAAGCGACTCATGCCCATCGCCAACTGCAAGCCCGGGGTCTGCATTTCGACCGACGGCGTTCCCGGCTCCGACTGCCGTCAATGCGGCAAGTTGAATCTGATGCCACAAGCCAACTGCCCCAAGAAGAACCCGTGCAACAACAAGAACGCGCCGTGCGTCGCCTGTGCGAAGTACAAGCTCATGCCGGCCAACTCGTGCACCGCTCCGGGCTCGTCGCCGGCGCCAGATGCCACGACGCTTCCGCCTGCCACGGCGTCGGCTAGCCCGACGCCAGGAGTGACAACCGCCAACTCGACGCCTGCGGTGACGACAACAAGTGGATTTGTGACACCGACGCCTGCCCCGACGAAGGCTGGTGGTGCGAATGGTGGCACCAGCGGTGGTAACAACGGTGGTGCCAACGGCGGTGCCAACGGCGGCACGAATGGTGGTACTAACGGCGGTGCCAACGGTGGCGCTAGCGGTGGCGCTAACGGTGGCGCCAACGGTGGCGCCATTGGCGGCACGAAGGGTGGCAACGACAACGACAACGGCTACGCGAACGGCAACGGTCAGAATGACCACGAAGTTAGCACGGGCGCCAACAACAGCGACGCATCGGGCGAATCGTCGGGTATTTCGGGCGGTGCGATCGCTGGGATTGTTGTCGGGTGCATTGCCGCCGTCATCCTCGCTGGCTTCCTCGTTTGGAAGATCAAGAAGGACAAGTCGCGCGAGGAGCAGCTCTTCGCCGACCCGCACGATCTCGAAGACGCGCAGACCGGCTATGCGGCCATGTAAACGGCACGACATTCGTTCGACCAAGTACAAAATACAACACTGGATGTTCTTCCCTTCGCATCTGCATCGTAACCACACCAAACGATCTTGACACGTATCTAGTCCTATGCTACTCGTCGATTGCTTCACTCGACGAGGCTGGCAATGGTGCTTCCGAGAGAGCGGGCTGGAGCCCAGCGCCCGACTCGTCGGGCACCATACACGTTGCCTCCAAGTACGCAGCGACCGGCGCGAATCCGCTCTCGATCGCGTGGTCCAATGCACTTTTCCCATCCTTGTTGGGCCGCAGAATGTAATAGGGCGACGCCGTCAAAAGCGCTTGCACCACCGAGAGCGATCCGCTGAGCACGGCGAAATGCAGCGGCGTGTTGCCGTCCATGTCTGCATAGTCGATGAACTCGGGGCCTTCCGCCGCCAAGTAGGCGACGCACGCTTCGTCACCAGCCATGCACGCGTACGCCAACGCGAGGCGCCCCGAGGTGTCGAGGGCAACGAGGTCGGCTTGGCCGTCTGCGAGCACCTGCAGCGCTTCCATGGTCGGTGCAATGTGCACCGGGCGCAGTCTACGACGGTCCATCCAATAGATTTCAAGGCGGTCACGAGCGAGGTACCCGAGGTTGTTGACACGCTCGGTGCTGAGGCCGTGTTGCAGCAGCAGTTGCATGGCGGCGAGGGCGCCACCGCTCGTCGCGGCGTGCAAAATGGTGTCGCCGTTGGCGTCGGTCGCCTCCCGCAAAGTGCCATCCACGTCGATCGATAAGAGGAGGAGGATGCAGTCGACTTGGTTGGCGTACGCTGCGTAAAACAGCGGGGTGCGTCTACGAAACAGCAGGCACGGGTACGAAATCCGCCTTAAATACGCTCGATACCCGAGAGGATCCACGCAAAAGACATCAAAGTACTGGCTGAGGTACGTGAGGCAGTCGAGATGGCCGCAGTAGGCTGCGCCGTGGGCCACCGTCGCAAAATTGGCTTCCCAGCAAGATTTGCACGGAAGTGCCGACGGGTTCGCGGCCTCGTACCTACAACCCTCCTCCTCATTAGCATCATCCGCATCATCATACGACGCGAGCACCGCTGCCAGTAGGTGGTGTACGTGATGCAGCCGACGCCGCCGACGTCGATTTCGCAGTCGACGATCGCGTCCCCGCGCTTCGCGACAGTCACAACATGCGGAAAGTAAATGTAGAGATACTGCGCCGGGTCCCAACGTTGCACGACGAGCGTCAACGACGACGCCGACGCGATCGCGGCCGCCATGGCGTCGAGCGAACTTGGTGCGCGGACGCCTTGTACCTCTAGGAGCAAGTCACCTTCTTGGAGTCCGCTTGAAGTGCCCGCGGCCACGACAACAAGGAGTGGTTCCAGCGCCTCGGGCGACCATAGTTGAAGGCAGCAGCCCCACACGCCATCGCTACACACTCGACATGAGTGGTGCTGATCGTGATCGTTTAGATCCATGTCTGTACCCAGAGTCGAAGCCTGGTTTGGGCGGGGGCAGGAACAGGTTGACGCGGGTGAGGACGCAATTCGTGGCGTCGTACCGGTGCACTTGCAGCGGCAGCGGCGTGAGCTTGTGTCCCTCGAGCTGCTTGGCTTCCGGACCCAGATACAGATGCACCATCTCGGCCACGGACGACGTGCCGCCGAGCGAGGCTTTGAGGAGCGATCCAAACTTGCCGACGAGGTCGCCAACGCAGACGCCGCCAAGTGCGGCAGGCGACGCAGGCACGACGCTCTCAACGACCAAGAACGGCGGGTACACAGGCTCCTTGAGGAACTCGAGGGTCCACCCAAAGAGCTCAATCATCCGCCGATCATGCGCGGCCAAGTGCAGCTGTGGCGCGCACCATCGCTCGGGCAGAATGCGCAGCTGGATTTCCGTAAACCTAGCGAATGCATGCATTTCATATCCTCGTCGATCCATGTATGCACACCGGTCGTCGGCGTCCAGACACCGCGTGATCTGCAGCGCGACGTGCGACTGCGTCGAGAACTGATGGCCGATCCAGTCCGAGACGGCTTCGGGCGACGGATACGCCACGTCGCTCATCACGTGAACGTAATCGCCGGCCATGAGCCCACCGGTGTCGGCGGGGGACTCGGGGTACACCCGCAGAACGCGAGCAAAGGGCACGGACGGCAGCGTCGCATCATATGGCAGCGCCGACGGATCGTCACGTGCTTCGATCGCGACGAGTGGCTGAATCGAGAGGATACCGTCCCAGGAATGCAAGACAACTGCAAACTCGAGATACCCGGGCGGCGCCGAAGCCGTGTCGAGAGGGCAGTAGCGCGAGAGATACAGCGTCAGCGGAAAGTCGGTCAGTCTACGCGTATGTTCGACCTTGGTTTGCAGGATTACAGACGTACCTGTTGAACATCGTTAGCGCTTCTTGAAGCGTCGCGCCGCTCTGAAGGCCTTGGAATCCAATGATGCAGTCGTTTGCGAGAAGGCCCGCGACGCTCGCGGGCGATGGGGCTGCTGCCATGGCGTCGATGTAGGCAAAGGCATTCGGTGGCCACGACGGCAGCTCGGGCTCGGTGACGATGCGGAGTGTCGGGCGCTCGTAGGGGTGCAGGACACAGCCCAACGTGCCGGCGCCGGCCCACGTCTGCGGACGTATCGTGAGGTGCACGGGGTCGTTTTCGGTGCTGCGGACGACGGAGAGACTCAAGCGGTGGTCGCGCCGAGTGTTGACAAGGGCCACCTACCGAGGAATTCGCGACTCGGAACCGGATGCAATGTACATACAATGTGCTGAATCAAGCTCGACGCGGGCGTCTTGGTGCCGTCGACCGATACGACGGCGCCAAAGCGGATGACGAGGTCGCTGGGAAGAAGGCCAGAGTTGGCAGCCGGCGACCCTGCCTCGACCGTGTCGACGCGCAGGTACGGAACCACGCCAGCGTCGCGCAAGTGGCTATGGAGGACCTTGGCTACGTGTGCGAGCACTGCCTCGAGCTGTGCTTGGATCGCCGCCAGGTCGGCAGTCGTCGACGGGTGCGCTTGCAGCCACTGCATGAGAGCGTCTTGGGCATCGTAGAGCTGCATTTCGTGGTCGACGGCTTTTTGAAAGTCCATCGCATCGACCGGCTGCGGCATCAGTCGTCTCAGGGGCGCTGAATCGAAGGCGTCCTCTGAAGGGGCCCG